GCCGGACACGGCCCACCCCTCACCCGCCGCCCGCTGCGACGTGTCACGGCGCCGCCGCACCGCTTCCGGGACACGGCGCCGCGCATGCACGCCGCGCCGCCGGGCATGCGCCGTCGTGCCAGGGCGTTGCTAGGAGACCGCGGGACTCAAGGGAGGAGGGAGACAAGATGGCGGGCGCGCTGAGCGGAGCGTGGAACCCGTCGCCTGCCTGGGGCCGCGCGCGCCCAGGCGGGGCTCGCGCGCCAGTCTCCTCCCTGCTTAAACTCTCTGGAGTTGCCTGTTAATCCATGCAGCGAGGAACGTAGTTTCGGCCAGATTTCACTGCCTTTAGGGAGTGTGTCCCCAGACAGGTTTTATATCCCATTAATTCACCATGATGTTCATAAAGAGAGGTTTTCTTTTGCTTTCTGCTGTGGGATTGGTACTGAGGTGTTTGTCCATCTCCCAAGCAAGAATGCAAGCAAGAATGCAAGCAAGAATGACAAAAGGATGTGGAAGTACTGTGGGATTGATACTGAGATGTTTGTCCATCTCCCAACCCATGCAGCAAGAATGACAAAAGGATGTGGAAGTGAGAAAGAATGGCTGGGAGACGCTGAGTTGGGTGTGAAATAACTGTGCAGTAGGACAGGCTGGAGGGAAGGAACTGCTGTGGCTTAGGAGCTGAGCAGGAGTGAGATGTAGACAAGCCTGAGGGGGCAGCAGGCTCTCACTGGGCAGAAGCTGCTCTAAAGTGAAGGGACAGCAGTCCCCGCAGGCAGGAGCTCACAGTGCGCTACACTGTCAGGTTATGCGCCTGCCTTTTCGATGGGACAATCTCCTGCAGCTTTGTGTGTTGATATGCACAGCTGGCAAAAAATATTTCTGCACCTCTCCAGTGTTTGCGCAGACTGTGCTAAGAGAAGTTACAGTCCTGCTCACTGTGCTCAGGAACCTCCTGGCCTTTAAATTCCCTGGTCAGTCCATTTATCCTCCTCGCATGATCCCTTTGCTCCCTTTTCTTCATGTAAGGCCAAGGGAAAAGGCTGTACTTGGACTCTGTTAATTAGAATTTGTTTTTATTATCTACCTGAGGTATTAGCGCACCGCACAGGAAGGGTGAGCGTGCGCTGCTGACTCAGACGGGCTCTGCTGTGGCCCGTCAGGGAAAACCCCAACTGAGAGAGTTCAGCTGAAACTTCAAAATTAAATGAACCATAATTGCCACTTTATTGTTGTTGCTGAATAGGTACGTGGTAATGAGGTTTAGAAATGTGTTAGTTGTGCACTCATGAACAGCTGCAGTCCCAGGCAGCTGTAGCCTGACTTCTTATATGATGCAGGAAGTGAACGCTTGTCACTTGGCCATGCATACTGCTGCACAAATCTGGGTTTTGAAACACATGTACATTTTTCTTCTTTTTTTTTTTTTCATTTTAGCTTTCATTTTTTGGGACATAGTCACAGTTACTTTATTACAAAACTCCCATGCATGTAATTTTGTGGGATTATTGTACCAGATTTTTAGTCCTGCTGTAAGCCTTTCCTGCAAAACTTCCCTCGTGGTGCGGTGCATACTCCAGCTCCTGGGAGCACGCTTCCAGAACATACACGTTTGTAGAACTGAAAGAAATAACAGTGGAAGAATTACACCCACAGATAATACAGAGATCAGTAACTGTGTTATAAGCTTCTTGCAAATTTATCCTTGAAGTAAATTAGCCCTGGGAGCTGAGCAGTTTCCCGCTTTCCTGGAAGAGCTGTGGAGCATGCAGGCTGCATGCGATGCTGACGACTCCATGCCCCTTTGCTGAGCTGTTCTACCTGGTTGCAGTTCACTGGACAGTAAAATGAGAGCCCCTGCCTCACTCTCAGATCCTGGCTGGTGTGCTGTTTAATCGTGATTTGTTGTGAAGTGCTCTTTGACTAGAATCTATTTGTTTTGCTTAGATTATTAGAATTTGCTCACAGGTTTGAGCTTTTGTTAATTAGCTGTCCGCGTTGGCACTAGGCATCTCCCCGTTACTTCAGGATATGAGTTGTCTGCAGTCCCAGCATGTAGCTGGGTACAGGTAGGCGGGGACAAGGGACCCGTCTGGAGTCGGGCGCATCCATGAACGCTTCACTCTGCAGTGAAGCACCAAGAGTTGCCTGCTGGCATAAGCAAGCTACAGAAATCATCAGCTGAGGGTACCTGCTCTGCTGAAGCAGTGTTTGCGACATCAGAACTTGCAAGACAGAAAGGAAGTTCCTCACAAAATAATAATAGAATAATAGAAAACAAGTTTCATTTGGGTATAGCCCATCCAAGGATTTTTAGGCAAGTGCTGTTGAGGTCGCTGTGTAGGCACACGATATGTGCTAGGATGTGCTGAGGAGTCCTAGACCCCTGGGACCAGCTAGTAGACTGACTTGTGCAACAGTGTCCATGAAGTCCTGGAAGATTTGTCAATGTAGGAAATACCAATTCCTGGTCAAAATATTATCTGATGTACAGTGTTTGTTATTATTCGCATCAGCAGAACATGACTTCCTTTACTCTCCGCTTTGGAAAACCTAGGGCCTGTGCAGTGAAGTTGCTTTGGGTCTGGGGTTTGCTCAGAAACATGCAGTTTCTTTGCATAAGCTGCCCACACAGAGGAAAATGTTTTTGCCTGTCTGCTGTTTGAATTGCCTGACTTGCACCATGCCTACATGCTGCGCGGCAGTGCAAGCCATTCGATGCCTTTTCTGATGAAAATACATTATGCATTTGAGTTATGAATAAAAGATCAGGGGCAAAACTGTATAATGCTATACTATGTGCTTTTTAATAAGGCCTACTTATGGTACTCATCACTTATTTATTTATTTATTTGCTAGCAGATCCTTTTCTGAGAGAGATCCTGCGTTTAGATTTTCTTTATGCTTTTTCTCCAAAGTGAAAGGTTTCCTAGGACTTCCCGTTCACACATACTGCTGGGCCGAGCAGCTGGTTTTCCCCTGTGTGTGCCTCCCGCCACTGCATGACTGGTATGTGTTAATTAACTCAGCATCGTGCTGCTGCTTACCCGGCTCCGACCTCAGGAACAGCATTCCCAGACCCACCCTGGAGATGCAGGGTCACAGGACCGCTCCACTCTAGGAGCTGGATTGCATTAGTGTATGTTACTGAAATGGCTAGCGCTGTACAGATTCTGATGGGCTTGCAAGTGTGACCAGAAGTGCCAGAATTTGCCACAGGACTTGGTGACTGATTCTCATGGAAAATAATGTCCCTCTATGGGGCTCTGGCAATCAGAAAGATTTGAGCCTCCTACATCTCGATGCAGACATTTTGCTTTCTCTTTCTTTGCCTTGCCGTCTTCCCCGGGAATTGCCCAGCTCCCTGAGGTTTGTCCTGGAAATGTGGTGTTGGCCTGGGACGGAGCCATGGGGCTGCTGAGGAGCACTGAACACTGCAGCATCTGTGGCTGAAGACTCCTGAGGTGGCACCTTGAAGTCATTTCTGGATCAAAGTGCGAGCCTAGGACTGGCAGTACTGTTTTGCTTTCTTTCCCTTTTATTTTAACTATTGTTAAAATTGTAAAAATCTCCTGTAGTGATGAAGTTCCCGTTGGGTTTTGGCTGAACTCTTCTGTCCAAGATATACTTTTTTCTTCTTCCCAGAATTACTCCTTCAGTTTCTGCTTGAAATTATTTCCTACTTCCTTAAAGTCCTTAAAGTTCAATATCGTGTTGCTAAATACTCATAAACAGCTTCTACATTTCTTATTATCTGTGGGTGACTTGATTCTTATTTATAGCTTGTGTATCGGCACAGCGAGATGCAAGGTGATATGTATACTTAGCATTGCTACTATGCACTTAGCTAAATACTAGCCTTCTTTCTCATATTCATTGCTGCTGCTTTTTAGAGACCTGCCTTTTTTAGCACCCACAAAATCTGATGAAGTCAGTTGTCCCACGATTTCCTGAGAACCTGACTGCTAATATATCACTTTGTCATAAGCAATGACCTCAAAACTGTGACTGATGCCACATCATTAGTGTATCGGATTTAAACACAGCTCTGCTTTGACTTTGGGAACATAAACTTTAAGCTTGGGCTAAATTTTCCTCTAGCTGCATTGAAGGTTATGCTGGCATCTGTTCGCAGTGGAACATGCTCCATCTTCCGCCTTTTGATGGATGCTGCTTTCTTTGCCTTCAGAGAACTATAGCTGGATTCCAGATGAGCTGCTTTCTTTTGCAGCTGAATGGGGAAGATCCTTAGTGTTGTCCTGACACATATTGTACATGCAGGTCACCAAGGTATTTGGCCCAGATTTTGAAGTTTCACTCTTCTCACACTGCATTTTGATGAATTTGGCCAATGTCTTGTATTTAGCAGGGAAGCATTATGTGATGCTTATACTGTGGAAGCCACTGCATCGCAGGAAATTATGTTACATTGTGGTAAGATGATTGGAACAGCCTGTGTAAGGAAATAAGGGTATGACTTGAATTTCTTTTATTATTTGAAAAGCGCAGATGCATTTCTAAAGCTGTTGTGATTAAAATTCTGAGGTATTTGTTCTTTTCAAAGGCCAATTCTGATTATGATTTTTCAAGAAGACTAGAGCTTAAATATCTAGCTTTTCGCTAATTACCCAGTGCCTGTGTCCGTGTGCTCCACAGAGCGGTGCCAAAAGCCCGGCTTTTCTTTAAGCCTCTCCTACCACCGGCCATTCTCTAAGAAGCCTGGCCCAGCCTTTCCGCGCTGCTTCTCCCTGTCCCCACGTCTGTGCCGAGAAACCTGGGGATTCCCATCTCAGCTGTCCTCTGTGGTCACAAATGACTTTGGTCCTAGTTTGAATGAGACCAACTTTTGCTGGTTGTACTGAATTGATCAACTCCAGTCTTGCCAACAAAAACTGGCCTTATGGAAGCTGCTCTAGCAGCATATTAGGTAGCACTCATTACTCAAGTATTTGAAAAGTCTCATGCAAGGCTCCCTGCTTGGAGCAGGGGCAGCTCTCGGTAGCTTAACCCCCGAGGGGCCCTGTCTTCCGGTGGCAGCGCTGGCGCAGGTGTCGCAGCGCGGCTGTCCTGCCTGGTCCAGTCTGTGAAGATGTGCCAGACCAGCCCAGGCACCGCACTCGGCCTGGCCGTGACCCCCGTTGGGCTGCGCGGCACCAGCAGCTCCATCCACTGTGGGTGTGCGTGTGCGGGACCCTGTCCGGCCTCTGTCTGGGATGCAGCAAGCAGCCTCCTTACTGATCCCGGCTGCTGCTCTGGAAATTGTAAGACAGAGAGGCTTGTCTCCGGAGCCACCTGAATTAGTGAATTAGGTAACAGCCAAAGATTTGATGAACTGTTTGCCTGTTAGGTTTAAGTTCTAGAATCTCTAACCATACAAATTACAATCCTCCCGTTACTCTTTGAACACCATGTGTTTTCAAGCGACCATGTCGCGAGGTTTAGGTACATGCGCTTTGCTTATGGATAGTTGCTTACCCAGGGGTGCAGCATACACTGCAGCGCGCGCGGAGCGGCAGGAACG